AGTCTGTATTTCTCATTTTTTTTAGTCTTTTGCGTAAAACTAAAATTCATGCCAATATTTTTCCATGATTTATAATAATTGGAGTAATGCAAATGCATATTTTCTAAAAAAAGTCATTTTTAGTGAAATTTTGCCGGGAATGGGGCTTTAAATTATAGTATGAAAACGCAACAAAAAGAATAGCATGAAGCACATACTAAACTCCATGGAAGAAAGAAAATATGTTAGTAGAAAGATAGCAAACCGGAAATTAAAAAAAAATACTTAGGCCTATGATAAACCGATTGACTAATTATAATTATATAGGGCCTAGCCTAGGCATATTAAATTTTGCGTTTTCCCAACTCCTTTGGCGCTCCATATATTTGATCGAAATAAACCGCGACCGAAATGAGGCGCGACCGAAATGATCGGCTACCGACCGGGCCTGCCTACCCTACTACTACACCTACCTACCTGGGTCTAGCCACTACAATGCATCAATTTCATTACTGACACCTTTCAATTGCTTCGACAATTCAAACCTCTTATTTTGCAGCCTTTTCTTTCTCCAACTGAATATCTTGTATCCTAATACTGTACCAATTCCTACGCCAATACCGAAACTTAAAATTAGACCTACTGACAAGCTTCTTCCCGAAACTTCAGCCATGCTCGACTCTATCGCTGTCTCTTATACACATCTAGATGTGTATAAGAGCCAGCTTTCTACTAAGTAACAACATAGGCTAATTAAAAGCAAATAAAATGAATACTATTATTACAAAACTAAATTTCAATTAATAATATGGTATTTAGGTTATTTTCTAGTTTGTTGCATTCCTAGTACAATTTTACTCTTTCATCCGACGGTTTTTATTTTCGATTTTTTATCGATCCTACGCTTCCTACTACATATAAATAGCAAATAAAATGAATAATAAAATTTGGTTCTTCTCTTAGTACGGTCTGTCTCTTATACACATCTAGATGTGTATAAGAGACAGGCCTAGTTGGATACGTAGTCTTTCTTCAACTTTATTCAATACATTACAGAGTTAAGTTTTTTTCAGGTTTGTTAATTGTTTACTGGAACTTATGTTTTGTATCCATTTAAGTTTCAAATACTTAAAATTCATTCGATTTTTGCTGAAGAAGTAGTTACATCACAACTTCATGCAATTTCAAATTCAAGTTAGAAAATTCATTTTTCACATATAATAAACCAACACAATGCTTTCTTGAATGTAGGACCATGGAGTTAGCGCCATTATACAACATAACAAGTTTCATTTGTGGTTTACAGTACTGTATATTCTTTCATCAACTGATTCCTCTGTGCAACACTCTGTATACAAAAGGTGCACAAGAAAATTCTCTGTTGAGTTTTTTAAAGGCAGGCACACTGCACTGTCGGACGTCGACTAATGAGACTCCTCACAGAACGCAATGCGCTCAGTCGTTGGAAGCACTCACCCAACCACAATCAGCTGACGGCTTTGCATTGCAGTCGATTACCGGCTTAATGTTCTCATGTATGTGATTAGTCACTCACATGGGATTAACATTTTACCGTCTTTTGATAGACGGTGCACTAAACCTGCATTTCAGAATGACCATCGTATGACGTGGTGTGTGCCCGGCTTATACTTTACGTACATGGGACCAACATTTTAACGTCTATTCTGAAAGACGGTGTGCTAAACTTGCATTTCTGTACTCTTGCTGAAACACAGGGAGACCAGTGACCCTTTACCCTATGGTCTACTATGATTTCATCAGTGCACACAATATCCACTGAGCCAAACTTTCCTCAGTTACAACATGCACAATGGCAAAAAAGTTTAACAGTTTACATTCTTTTCATGGACAATACATCCAAACTTTAAGTAGGCCTACTAATTATTTTATTATTAGTAAATTCTTAAAAGTAATGAAATTAAACTAGAAATTCCTCAACATAATTTGCATAATTATAACTTCAATCAGTGCCTATCACCCTCTCTCAGTCAGTAAAAATTGTAGGGGAATTGCTTGTAGTTATGAGTTTTATTATTGTGTTGTTTTTTTTAATAAACTATAAGCAATCCAAATATATTCACAAATGTGATGGATGAAGATTTAGTAAACAGATGCTCAAAAGCAATTAAATCAATTAATGGCCTCATGTAGATACATACTGCTGGATGCTAATTTCTTAGGCCTCAATTTTACATCCATGAACTCTTCTTTAACTTTATATAGATTTATAGACACTGAGATTACAAATTTTTCATAATACTCATTTTTTACCCTTAATTACAGTTCTCAATATTTGAATGAACTGCCATAGGTCTACTATTCCTTAGGGGAGGGAAGGGGATTAAAGAGCTAAACATTTTATTGGAAACATCAATACAAAATCTTAAATAAACAATTTAATTCCTTTTACATTGTTTTTAGGATGCTATTCATCCAGAATGCAATTCATATTACAGTATATGATTAAAAATACATACTATACATAATATACTTGTTTTTAAAATTTTTTTTTAATTGATGTTTCCAATATGTTTACTCAGCTCTAGACAAACCTGTAAAAAACTCAACAGATCACAAACTAAAAATTAAATCCTAATAGCAATACCAAAGCATCCCAAATTACATCTGCATATACAGTGATGGATCCTGGAGGAAAGGAAGGTCAGAGGTTACACATTTTCCCCTTCTCCTAATTTTGATTGCCAAATTCTTCAATGTCATTAGGAAAACTAGAAAACAGTTGTGACATTATCACACTTTTGAGGTCACAAATAACACCTTCTCAATTTTTATAGTCAATAGTCATAATTCCAAATTTATCATAAAAAAGTAATATTAATCTTTTCAACGCTAAATTTTAATCGTATTGTAAAAATTATCTCAATTCGATTTTGAATAAATATACCATTACGACTAAGAAAAACGTATTATCATCATTATTATTACAATACTGTCATTGTTATTCTCATTATTATTTTGCCCAGTTGACTCTACCTCATATTCAACCACTTGAGAAGTCCTGAATCCATCTCTGCAGCAAATTATTTAAAATGAAAAGTAAAGAAACTCATAAATTCATAGTTAAAACATAATCTATAAAACAGATATTTTGTACACACCGAAAAATTGCCATACATCAAAGATATGTAGAAAGAAAATAAATTTTGGCTGATCTACAGACTAAAAACTGATTATCAGCAATCAGTAAGGGTGAAAGGACATAGAAATAGTAATAACTATCGTCCCGCTAGTTAACAAGATAATCACTTGGATATACAAAGCAGCTTAAATATTGGAATTTTATAGTTACAAAAATATTAGATGAAACAATTTACCTTTTTAACAACTAATAAATATTAATGTCTACCAAATGTAGTCATTCAATTACCAAATAATACACACTAAACCATAATTTAAGCATCTCAAAATATTTAATAAATTTAATTTAGAAAGTGAGAATTATACACAGGTATTGTACAAGATAAAACATCTAGAAGGGCATTTTACAAACACTGTAGGACAATTGTCCACTGCAACATCAACATTTAAAAATATACACAACACACAGTATATTATTTGAAGCAATAAAATTATATCTTATCATTTAATGACAAATAAAAAGCATGTTATTTAGTGCCCACCGGCTGGAAGAAAGATCAGGAGAAATTTGGTTGGGGAATATTCATAAGGTATTCACTGCCTATGCTCCAGCCTCCTTATCTTCCATATGGTACAATACCAAAGCAGCACTAATATTTATTTTTAACAATACACCAAAAAAATGTCAAATATTTATGACTATAATATTTCAGGAGATTAGTGCAGGGAGGAATGTAAGGTATATCATAATTTCAGACTTCATTAAATCTAAATTTTGTTACCATCCTCCGAGAAACAAAATATCTTTTGCACAAATATACAAATTTTATTTCTCAAAAAAAAAATCTTTGAGTTAAATGTAATACTATACAGCAATGGCATAGTATCACCGACTCTAGCTCAGTGAGAAAGCACGCCTAGCTGCAGAGTACCCTTCGGAAACTGCGTATGTCCCAGTCCCCCTGAGTAACATTTGAACTTTGTGAACCCAGGGGGAGGATGGATACTATTTGACAGCAGACAGCTTATAAGCCCTGTCCAGACTATCAAATTTTATTTGACAAAAACATGTGATATGCCTAAATATGGTCATGATGACATCACATCATGACTATATATGGGCACACAACAGCTTTTTGTCAAAGAAAATTTGATAGCGTGGACAGAGTTTAATATCATAGAAACGGACGCCAACGTGATTGCTTCAATCAACATCTTGGACGTTCAGAGCGTTCAGCTTGGTGGCAACACATTACCTTCTCAAAAATGACCTGCACGTATTTCTCCATTTAACCTAAAGTTTCCATTAAAAGTACACATACTCATACCGAAAACTTGCAAAGGTTATATTGTTCGAAGAGCAAGAACTCTCATGTGCTAATATCAATAACAGTAGTAGCATACACCAATACATTGTATAGCACCTACGAAGTCACTCGTAATATAGTGCATTCATTACTACAAGTTTTTGTATTTTTCATTCAATATGCTAGGGTACTAGTTTGGCCAACTAGTACTCAATGTGTGGGGATAATATCTATACATATAAACATACGTACAAACATTAAGTACGTTCAAACGTATGTACATGCGTACATATTTTTCATTCTTTATATTCTAAGTTGTGCAGAATGTCCTGCGATGTATTTCGTACCTTGACTTGAGTACGGATGCGAGCCAACATGTTAATATACAATTTTTTGATACCCACAATTCTCAAATGATGTTTTTATAAAGAAAGCTAACAATTTTTACCAATTTTTATTTTCTTAAACACCAAAAAGACCAGTTACAAGCCAAGAAGTTGGCAATCAATTCAACATATTTATAATTCTCAGGTTGTCATGATATAGATGAAAATATTTTGTGGAATATCTATGTTTGCATGCACGTTTCATATAATTCAAACTGTTTTCTGCCAAAACAAAGGACAAGATTTTCTTCCTTTTTTTAATATTTACATTATGTACAAAGCTAAATTATTTTGCAATATGTACAATGCCAAAATGTATCCACTATCATAAACTAAAAAATTAATTCAAAACAAAAGTTAAAAGTTTGGTGGTGCTTGTCAAATGCAAAAAGAAAATGCGAGAAAATTATACTGTACAGGGATGTTGAATCATACCCAATCAAAGAGATGTGAATCTCAGGGTTTTTATATTATCAACATATTTAGAAGGATGAATTCAGGCTCATCCATAATTTACAAATATAAACAAGATCATCAATTAATGTAATAAGCAATACAATACCTTTAGGTATAGTTATTTATGTATAATACAACATTATATTATCCAAATCAAATTCACTTTTAATATTTAGTGAAGTATTTGGTGATGTACTCCGTGTCAGTGCGATGTCAGGTTGGGCAAAAAGGTCATTTCTATTAATAATTTTACTGCTGATATAAACATGAAAGGTAAAACACAATTATACTTGGTAATTACAGAAACTTAGAAGGCTGCAATTGGCAAATAATGAGAGACGGAAAGGGGGTGGTGTGTTGTGGGGAAAGTCCTAGTTGAAAAAAAAAACATACATTATTTTCAACTCTGCAAATATCCAGAGCGAAATCTTTATATACATACTGGTATATACATCACTATCTTAATAATCTCTGTAATATTAATATTATTATTAAATTCTTATATAAAAAAAAAACATTATTCAGCACTACTACTATATAATCTGCTACCTGTACAATTAAATTTACTCTGTATTACATTTGGTGTATCGTACCACTCAAATTAGCCTATGCTTAAGCTAAGGGTTGAAGAGCACCCTTACTTATCACAAATATAATGAGTAAACGAATATGCATTGTACTGGACAAATATCCACTTTCAAATTAAATTTCTAAACTTTCGTTTCACCTTCTCTTCCATCTCTACTTTTACATTACACCCTATGTATCTGTTCAAACTCACATAGTGCCACTGGGATTGTTTCTGAAGTCATTCACCTGCTCGATGTCGATGCTGTTAAGTAAAGGAAGATTCAACGAGTCGTGTACCTCTTCAAAGATGTACTCATCTCCTACTGTATTACTTTCCGCAAGTTGTTCTTGCTGTTCCATCGGTTGTCGTACTATCTGTTGCTGCAGCTGTATCTGCTGATGCAACACATTTGGATCCAACTCGTTCAAATAGTTTGCCAAACTTGGGAAGTTTTCTATTACAATTTCTCCCCCGTTGAGCATCTCCTCAACTGCTGTATCAATCACTTTTGCTTCCTGATTGGACGCTTCTGACCCAAGCGTCATGGCCATGCTGCATGGTACATCCTGAGGGATAACATCTTCGTACCCTTGCGCCATAGGTGCCAACAAATCCAACACAGTGTTTGTTTGATCCATCGGACTAGGCTCAGGAATAGATGATGGATTACCAACCGGTATGGTGAGATATGGGTTGAGCAATTTTTCGAAATTCATCTGAACTTCACTTTCGTCTACCCCTTCAACTGATGCTCCACCCAAGTTTATTCGAACATCACCTTCCACTAGCTGCTCTTTTTCAGATGTATTTAGCAAACTGAACAGGTCAGTAGAGTCAATGGTAGTAGTTATTTGACCCTGCTGGATCAAAGTTCCTGTGTTACCACTTGAACTTTTGAAAAATGTTCCGGGTGTAGAATTCGCTGGTTCTTCATCCGGGGCTCTACCTACTGAGGCAGAGGCATTGGATCTGCGAGCTGCTAATAAAAATAAGAAAAAATTATTCATTCATACATCGAGTCCATCGACCGTTAGCCCTCTATGGATACAAAAAACACATGAAAAATTATAAGGGAAAAACAAATATAATACATATAATCTTTAAGTGTCAATATTAAGTCAAAATACTACCGGTACTTCTGAGGGTATCCAGTGGTGTCATTTGCTTTACAAGATAGGGAAGGAAATTCCAAGCTATCAAGACTCAGTTACAAAAATATATCAATTCAACCTGTGTACTTCATGCTTGTTTCACATGCAATTTGCATAGGGGCTGCCAAAACCTGAGTATCTCTCCAAATGCCTGCAGCTCATGTTTTTTTTTTTCTTTTTTGCATAACTGCTTTAATGTTTCTAAATATGCCCAAATAAATAGGGCTCAATGGTTTGTTGAGCACTCTGGTACAGAAATTAATATCAAAATGTGCTGATTGCTAACAAACTGGATTAAAATTTGTTGCATCATGTCTCACACACACACCCACACTCCCCCACCCACACACACACACATAATGATCATGGCATAGGCTACGAACAGAGGTTAACATTTATTAATTCGGGCATGATTGGAATTCATAATCCATGAAACTACATACATGGAATATGTGCTTTAATGTCCTATTTATTAGTACAAAATGTTAATAGCAATATTTGGTTTACTCAGGTAGGTATTCACAAAAAAAGACAACTGACACTGTAAAGCCCTGTCCACTCTATCAAATTCTTTGTGACAAATTCTAGGTGACATATACAATTTGTCACAAAGAATTTTATAGTGTGGACAGGACTTTACAGTGTCAAATTCTTTGTGACAAATTCTATGTGAAAAATTTGTATGATGTGCACCTGCGAATGATAACATTATTAATTGCATATGGTCATAATGATGTCATTTTACATATTATATATTTGTTTGCCATGTAGAATTTGATAGTATGGATAGAGCGTAAAAAACAGTAGTTAATACATTTACAGTCAAATTCACACATATAAAAGCGCCTTTTTTATGCACTAATAAGTTTTTGTACTCTAATTATTCTCTAGTGTATAGAATATGACTATACTGATAGCTTACTACCAGTGAGTGATGATGATGATTATCCCTCTAAAGATGCCTAGCTTACTGAGCATACATTATAGACGCCTACATAGACCAGGCTAACAGTGCTGTGGGAAGGAGTTGGTACATCGCTTGTACCCTTTGTCAAGGCACTTTACCCACGTTGTCTCTCTCAACCGATGACATAACCCAAGGAAGGTTTTTGAGTGCAAAATTTGATGATTTAATACATGCAGCAAACTACGTAATACTTCCTCTATAGGCATCATTCCAATGACTGGGGTAATATTAATGTAGAGGAGTGCTCTGAGACTTAGTCGCGTAAATGACTCTAAATATTACAGCGATTATTGTGACTTCATGCTACATACCAGTGCTACATACCAATGCTACATTCCAAACGCATGCTAATGCAAAATATACACTAGCAGTATTAAGTTGTCTTCAGGCTACCAAATTTTATGTGACAAAAAAACTGTTGTATGCCCATATAGTCAATGTGCCTATATATGGTCGTTAAATCGTTTAATCATGACCATATTTAGGCATGTCACATGTTTGTGTCAAATATAATTCAACAGCCTGGACAGGGCTTTAGAAAGAGAATCAATCAATTATTTGATTATAATAGACTATGATCAAATAATTATATTATTTATATAAATATATATATAAATATATATATATACAGTATATATAAATATATATATATATATATATATACATATATACATATATACATATATATTATATGTGGTATATATATAATATATACATAAATACAGTATATATATTATATTATTTTTTAGTATAGCATCATCTTAAAATCATAAAATGGGAAGACCACCTTCTGACAATCCCAACAGCTCATACGTCTCTTCCATAAGATAGTGCGGTACAGTATAACCTATAATTTATAAGAAGAGCAGTTTGATATCTAGAGGCACAAACTATCTCTCGTTCAAAACAGTGTTTACATGTGCACTTGAACAATCGGCATAGAAGGGAAAAGTACAAAGAAAGGGCCCTTGGAGTTTTTTGGGGCATTGTATCCAGAGCCAAGGGCCCTGGAAGCTGATAGAGTTTTAAGGATTCTAAGGTCTAATATAATAATCATAATAATTAATCATGATTTTCTAGGCTACACATTGGAGAGAATATAGCATTGTTTACATGCACATCCCCAGGTGGTAAAAAACCCCTTAGAGTGGGAGGCCCTGCGGTCCTTCTGCCACTGACTAATACACAGCATTCGTATATGAACATGAGTTAGTGTCAATTAAATAAACTTGTTCAGATGACGAGCATCACCATAGAACAGAAGAGAAAATCATTTTACTATTCTGAATATCACTCACTGTATCTTCAAGGTTAACCAACACTAGACTCACATGTAACAAACATAATTATATTATTTTATTATTTTTTGTTTTATAATATACTTATTTTTATCTTATATAATTTTACAAAATGCACACGAAGGATTTAGTGGTATGCGCTTCATAAGAATAGTTAATACACCAAAATTATTATTACGTAGTAAGTTTAAAATAGGGGGAAAATAGTTATGATATAATAATTATTCCGAAAGAGAGTATGTTATAGAAAATCGTGGTGCATGTTCCTTAGACTTAAGCAGAAAGCAAAAAGCTAGTTAGTACAGAGTGGGCTGGCTAGGCATTGGTCAAGCGAGATAACAGCATGATTTTCAAGCCGTGCCACTTCGTCACGATGCATTTGAATGGAGCTGATACTTCGCTTCATCGATGCCTTTACAACCAACTGTGCAAATCTAGCGTTTCGCAATCAACTACTCACATACCAAGAATTTCCTTCAACCTTTGTTTGACTTCGTTTGGCTTTTTTCGGCTTTCAGATCCTGGTTTTATAAAACGACATTGCGGAATGTTTCGAAACTCAGCTATTGAGGAATAAAACATGAAAACAATATATATTTATTTAATTAGTTATTTATTTATGTATTTACTTTGACAAGAAATAACAAAAACACATACTGTATAACACTAGTGGGTATGACATGCAACCAATTATGTTAATTTATATTTAAAAAAAAAAAAAAGATACATCATGCACCATTCTGGCAGAAAATCAATGAAGTATATTTCAAATCAAGGACTTTAGCATACTCTGTGGCTAATTAGACACTGGCGTATCTGGGAGTCTTAATTTAAGGGGTTGGGGAGACAGGGTGCAAAGTTGGAATGGGGGCTCAATGATTAAGTGACAGGGTGCTAGGTCGCAAAACAAGGTGACTTTTAACTACTGAGCTTGATTTTCAGGAAGGGGGAGCAAATGGGGTGGGGAGAGCTTTTTTAAGGGCGTGCCCATGTGCATCTCCTAGATACGCCAATGTGATTAGGTACTGCAAGAACTTGTGATTAACCCACTGCAAGCGCAACCACTGGGACTCTGGAGGCTAGCTCTGGTATCACAAATCGCTGCATGAATGAAAATGCTACAATTGGTTTTAGAAAAGTAATCATTTCATTTCAACCCATTTTTCAAAAAGTGAGCCCCTTTTATGCATAAAATTACATAATTTGGACCCATTTTTTAAAATGTGGACCTATTCTTTGTGGACCAATCAGAAAAACTGTGTGGAACTGTCCCAATAGCTGGCTATGGCATTGCTTAAGCCGGGAACACACTGCAACGACGGTCGTCGGCCGACGTGATTCTATAAATAACGCAACGTGACGACGTGCACAAAATGGATTGTTTGTAATGATCATCTTCTCTGGCTGCCACTAGGGATCTTTCAATTGGCGCAACGATGTAACGCTAGAATGGAATCACTCATCCATGACCATCATACGTTCTCTGCACAACGTAGACTCAAGCCAAATTGCGTCCCAGAATCCAGGCAATAATGAGAACACAACGGTCTTGCATGGTGCAGATAACTTCTTAGTGTCATCATTACATTCTAGGTCCTACCGCTGTTGTGCAATCGAAAGCTACCTATTAACAATAACGGAAGGCCGTCACAGAGAGTGGAGATGGACTTGTCAGCTGACTGTCGTACAATGTAGTGTGTTCCTGGTTTAAAGGCTGTCTTGACATGTGTATCAGGCCATCAGAAGGGAAATATTAATTACTTCCGTGCAACCAAAAGTCACCTATTTCTATTTAAAGAAATATGTTGTATAACGATTTATTGAAAATTTAACATGTTTTTATTATTATTATATTATTACAATATCAAACTGACATTGAAACCAAGACAAATTAGAATAAAAATATATGAATCAATAAGTTACCAACTTTAAAATAATCACATATAAACAAAAGTAAGTTTTAAATCATTTACAGACATTCTACTATGAAATTCTTACCATAAATTTTAGGTATAAGCAAGTTAATTCTATAGAATAAATAGAAGAATTTTTGCAGTAAAATGTCTGTTAATCAAGGAAAACTTATTTTCTTTGATCTGAATCTCATTTATTGTTGATAACTAATTTGATCTTTTTAAATTAGCAATTTGATTAGTCTTTATTTTGTTAACACCCCTTCCCCATCCTAGTGTCTTGATATAAAAAATAAATTATGCATCTAATTAGCATCTTATTTTCTTTTCCCATTCAAACAGTCCTTTAATATTTTAAACACAGTCAACACTATCAAATTGTATGTGAAAAATTTGTGTAACATGCCCATATATGGGTATGGTGATATATTACAACCACATATGGCCATACAATTTAATAGTGTGGACAAAGTGTTAGAACAGGCAGTACAACATAACTATATATTTTTTCCCTTCTGAAGCAGGATTTTAAATATTTATTTTTGAATTTCATGCATTTAGCTCTGCCACAGTCAAAAGCGTATGATGGTTTCAGCAGGTTGGGTGGTTCAAAAATGAATCCCTATCCAATGAAAAATGTATGCTCATCTTTATTGTTACCTACTTTCGGAACGACTTTGCCACCGCAAAGGGATGTGTTCGCATCCTATGCCCCGCATAATGTAGTAAAATATATTATATACCTCATACATAGATTTTAGGCATCTGATTAGGCATCAAGCGGGGCAATAGAAAGTACTATTCCCCTGAAAAAGTACTATTCCCTCAAAAATAGTACTTTTTTGACCTGTCGCGGTGTGCAAATTCTAGGCCCACTGAACATCGCGCTGCTGACGGTAAAGGGGACTGCGACCTCTACGACGAAATTGGCCCTTGACCGTGTTACGGTTCAGCGAGTAGACAAATACATATAAACAAATATGGAGGCTGTTCGGTTCGAGATGAAGGACTAGATTAGGCCTTGCATTACTTCTTGATGCCAACAGCAAAAGACAAATTAAATATGTCTTGTCAATATTCGACAAAGACAATGGGTGGTGTTGAAATTGAGGAAATAAGCAAAGAAGAGCTAGGCACACTCTTTGATCGCCTATTTATAGGCCCGGCCCTAGCTAGGCCTCCAATACTAGGCTAGGAAGCAAGTACTTTTTTAGGCCTCGTAGAATCTATGTATGAGGTATATAAAACAAATACTGACTGCTCTAGATTCGGGGAACAGTGGAATCTATTGCCCCTTGGTGATGTGGAGACCGCCTATCTTCGAAGGCCCTCGGGAACATAGGCTACGGTCTTAGCATCACCTTGGGGCAATAGATTTCACCATTCCCCTCATGAGCCAATATTTGTATACTATATAATCATTACTTTATTTCTGAGGTGTTTTAACGAGGATGATAAATATCTTTTGTGTACTCATTTGAATGAAAAGGTTTATACAATTACTTACATTTTGCAGGTCGATTAGAATTATCTTGTATGAAATTATCATACGATGGCTGGTTTCTCTTCCGCTTTACACCAACCTTGAAGGGATCTATAGAGTAATATTTTAAAAATTACAATATTTTATTATAACATCAAACATTTTGTTAAAAAAATTGATAATAATATGTGACACACTCTAGCAAATACACACTCTTGTCTCAAAACATGAAAAATGACATTATTATATCTTTAGGTTAAAAGCTAATAACTGATACAAATGTTTTTAAAAACAGATAACATATAGCAAAGATATAATTTATATTTTCAGTCCAACATGCATTAAGATGGTCAATACATGGGAATTTTAAGGCTTGTTTTTGATGGCAAGTATCTGTTTTGGCCAGAGTCAAAAACAGATAAAAAATCACAATGATTATCTCTTTGATTCTACTATTGGTAGCTTCTTTTTCTAGATAATTGTTTTATACCATAGATCCTAGGTATCTGATTGGTTGAAAGTGCAGGAAGAAAAAGGGAACGATGCCCATGAGGCATAGTAATTATGGGCTAGGAATAGGCCAAGAAGGAGTTTGTTGTGGCATGTAGTAGGCCTATGTTATGCCTAGAAATCTGGCTGTCTATAACAAAGAAAAACTATTCTGAGGACTGTTTGAGTGAGTTATGTCACCTACCATTGTCATCCGGAAGATAAGTGAATTCCATTAGCTGGCTCTCTTCGTTGTCGGAGGGCCGGACCAATTTGAAATGGACGGTCACAGGATCACGAATGTGCAGATCTTTGTAAGCAGGTGTCTTACACACAATAGCAACCTAAAAGATACAAGAAGATGTAAAATATGAGGATATTGGTGAATAAAAGAAAAAAAATGAGAATTTACAATCATGTTCTGGTTCAAGACCCCATATTTTACTGCAGATTTTCACTTTAAAAAAATTTAATCAAATAATATAAAGTCAAAAAAAAAAAAAAAATTAAATATGAAAGATTAAAAAAAAAAATTACATGTTTTTTCCCCCAAAATGTCAATGGACTTTTGCAAAATGTTGATCAAACCTAACAACCAACCAATCAAAACAGGGCTAGGAAAACATGTTTATTCTACAAACGCATGTGTTGTCCAACGAACATGTGTTTTACATACATTTATGCTACATTTTTATGGACCCTGGCAACAATATCCAAGGGGCGGGACTTATCCGAAAGGTTAAAAGTTTAGCAAAACACAACAGTGGTAATTTTCCAAAATTTATCATTGCAATATTATTAGAAAATTATCAGAAAATATACTTTGATCCCCTACTCCAAATGGCCCTCAGAAACTGCATCTTTATTATTGGTGTGGTCGCCATAATCATCACCACCCTCCGAATTATATATAATGCACCCTTAACTTCCCACCATAAACAATCCTCATAGTATCTCACCCTTACACCACCTCCATCATCATCACCACTGCCATTGTTGTCATTGTTGACCTCCATTTGATAATGAAAGCCACTCACATACAAAATATGGTGAGCACTATTCTCCACCTTATTCAAAACCCACACTAATTTCCACACCACCCACCTCCCTTACCCCTAGAAGAGCGAAAATATAATACCTGACGGTGAATATCTGTTGGGCTGAAGTCAGCATTTTCAGACCATTTACCTTCAACGAACTTGACCTCTATGTCATCTGATTATTGAAAAATATGCATAATTCATTTTCTTGTAAATGGTAATGAAATAACATTGGAGTCCCATAAACAAATGCCATAATAAATACTTTAGCATGGTGATATCTCCTAATTTACATAACTCTCCATCTGAACAAAATTCTTGGTTCAGTGAGTTTTCGTATAGCATCTCACCATCGAGTGCAAAAGTGACACCGTTCCCTACGAGTCAACCCACAACCTTGCTGTGTGCTACCAATAAATGTGATCAGCTCTATTTGGAATATATCTCAGCTAACTAAAAACAATCAAAATCTCTTGCTTTAATGTTTTCTTTTCTTGACTGATTTAACATTTTGTATATTAAACAGGGATTTTTTAAATGCAATTTTAAAGGTTTTGGTAGTTGGAAACGATCGTTCTTAACCAGAATTCAGGTTCATAACATTGAGAGTTCATGTTTGTGAGGTTTGTAATTGGGAGATGTTACTGTACCATTAACACATTTAATACAGTAGTTTAATTTTTCAACCAATTTCAAAATGGTAGTTATTTTTACCTCTGTGGATTTTGTCACATAAGATGAAAAGCTCTTCTCCACCCCTGATGCTACCACTACGGCGATCTACTCGTGCAATATTCAAAGTTGCGCCCTCTATAGAAACACATCAGATTTAGAATTCTATAAACTCTGAACATTCAGTATACTGTATTGTATTCTTATATTTTCAGTGGGTTTGGCAAATCAAGACATGCATGAAAACAGGGTCATTAACATGAAAATGATGTTTATGATGATAATGATAATGACGATGATAATGATAGTGGTGATGATGATGGTGACGACGACAGCAATGATGAAGATGATTATAAAATTGATGATGATAAAATGCATAGCATTTCAATTTTCTCTCTTGTTATAGGTGTTTTAAGCTGGTTTTCCACTAGGCGAATTTATTCGCGAGAATCAAATCGTTGGTTCGCTTCCTGACCTCTGAATAAATTTGCCTGTGGAAAACCGGCTTTAAGCTCTGTCCACACTCACAAGCTATGTGACAAATATTAAAACAAAAAAGAATTATTAATTATTTATTAATAATACTAATATTATCATTATTTTTTTTCTCAGTGTGGGAGTTTGTAATCTCTTTTTTGTTTTGTAATATTTTTTACAAGCCTGTAAGTGGTTATAAACTAACTTTTATCAAAAATAGGCTGCGTATAAACTGGCGGTAGAGGAATATTCGGTTGGTCTGGTTCGCTTTCATTGGCGATGTAAACCTGAAAGCAAACACAGACCGTGGTCAGATCATATTCGGCCGCCAGCTTCTTTGGGTCACGGGTGGTCAACCTGAAGTTATTGTATGGGTCAATGCCTTGATTTATTCGCTCTTCTAATGCAGTGACAATATCTTTCTTCTTGATGCACTGTATTCCCAGGTTTTCAAATCTGAAAGGCAACAGGATCAATCAATCAAGCAATCAGTCAATAATTTATTATGTTTTTGTAATAACTTTCTTCTAAATGAATTCCTAAGTTATCAAATTCTGTCATAGTCCATAGTACTGCAAATATGTACTGTACATATATAAGTAGCTGTATATATGTAGCATAGGATTTTACATACAACAGATGGCACACCAAACTATGCAATAAAGTACCGGTCAGGGGTTACAGGTCTCCCAATTGTGGCAAGAATTCCCAAAAATTGGCATAATCTCCAGAGCTATCATGAACAAGCAAAAACCTCCTGCCAACACCTCCCTTAATGGGGAGGGGGTCCTGTCAGTGAGAAAAAACATATTTTCTAGAAAGTGGAAAAACTGCATGTATTTTTTTTACTCATCTTAGACTTAGGATTTTTCCATTTGACCCCATCCAAGAGCATGCTTTTAAACTCCTGTCTGATTATCACATTTTCTTGATAAAAAAAAACTATTTTCTGCTCATACTGTATATAATCATGATGTGATGTTAAATAACATACTTGATAATTTTGTCAGCCTTCGAAAGGTTTTTAATGCAGATACCATTGTTGCAGTCTTTGCCAACAAGTCCATGTGGATGAGGCCTGGGATCAGACCTTCCTTTCTCTCTTGTTACAAGCGATACAACCACTTTGGCTGACCCCTTATAATTAGTGATCTGTAGAGAAGAAACAGAATTTAATTTAAATATACCATAAACTACTTGCACTGATGGCAATGCCTAGGGTAATAAGCTCATTTCATCCCCCATCCCCAAACAACTCCCCAGCCCCAATCCCCAAACAACTCCCCTAGCCTCATCCCCAAACAACTCCCCCAGTCCCCATCCCCAAACAACTCCCAAACCCCTCTTGAATGATAAATTAGATTTGATTTTGGAATGTGGGATGACATCCTGAGGATCAGAGAAGGTAAACAAAAGTAGGTAAGATGGATAGGGAGATGCCCAATTTCAATGCAGTATATTATAACTTGGTTCATTAAAACTTATAATTAAGAGCAGCATTTTAATAAAACAAAGCAGAATGTCCGATTTTCAGAGATTGAGTATCTTCAAATCTGATTTTTGGAGATCCAAACATCCTGAGGATCAGAGAAGATAAACAAAAGTAGGTAAGATGGATAGGGAGATGCCCAATTTCAATGCAGTATATTATAACTTGGTTCATTAGAACTTATAATTAAGAGCAGCATTTTAATAAAACAAAGCAGAATGTCCGATTTTCAGATTGAGTAGCTTCAAATATGATTTTTGGAGATCCAAACATGTCATTTAAAATGTTTAAAATGAGACCATATCATACTGTTATCTAGAATTAGAGATATTCTCAACCAAAAACAACAGTTCTTTTCAGAACCATCTACGTGGTGTACCGCATTAATAGATATTATTACTTCGCCATGCAAACCTTCAAACAATATTTAGAATTAGAGTTGTTACACAAGTGCAAAAGAGTGTGAAAATCAGTTGCTTCCAATCAGATTCAATTTTCCAATGAATTTTCTAAAGAACACAATTGGTTATACAGCAGAAAGTTCCAGGTTTGAACTTTTTCTCAAACTGGAAGGATTCCTCTTCTTTTATGTGCAATATAATTAAAGCAACTCTAACAAGGTCATGATATATTTTAAATTTCTGTAGTATATACTATATATATTAAATAGGAGGACTTCCTCAGATATCAATTAAATTGAACTAAATTAAATTCTTGGAATGGAAGAGCTTTGAAGGCTTTATTCTCTGCCAGTACCCTGTGAGGGGCCTTCTCTTGAAATCTGCCAGGGACACTATGTGATATTTGTGATCAACAGCTTTGTTGCATCAATTCAACCACTTATTACCCACCCCTTCAAAACATAGGAATGAAATGGAGCATCGAAAAAGACCAACCCTAATAGACGGAAAAGTCTTCTTATCAGAACTTGACTTTTCACCGGGAATACTACCAGCAGATCGTCCCTCACACTCATAACGAAAACGCAAATCTTTCTGTTTCGGCTGTTCAACTATCTCAACAGCAGGCTTCGCTTCTTTTGGACTAAGCCATGTATCTGTGGACAGATTAAAATTACAATAATCAATATTTTGAACATAACATTATTGTACTTATGATCATATTTGTTGTTACAACTTTTTAAAATCTTCACAACATATATTTCATTGTCATTAGCAGAGCTAAACTTCACCAATGCAAGATTTTCCACATCATGTTTCACAGACTTGCTACCTGCTGATGATTTAGAAAAATATGGCTTTTCATTTGGCCTAATAGCAAACCTTTGATGTAAAAAAATGTATATGTATCACACCATAGTTGACATAATTCCTTAAAGTCAGACTCCGGAGGAAAAAATTTTTTTGATATTTTGTAGAACTGATTTTTCTAAGACAGAAAAAAGTTGTTTGACGAAAAACTGGGGAACGGTGAATGAGATATTTAAAAACTGGGGGAATAAGGCGTAAAAATGGGCAGTTACGCCCCTTTTTCCCCCAGTTTTTAAATATTAAAAAATCTGTATCTCATTCATTGTTCCCCAGTTTTTCGTCAAACAACTTTTTTCTGTCTTAAAAAAATCAGTTCTACAACATATCAACAAATTTTTTTCCTCCGGAGCCTGACTTTAAGACATCTTTTGGTAATATGATTACCTACTTTCATGTCACCTCCTCATCCATAACCCAACTGCCATCGAACTGCAGTAACTGATTAAAATAGTCAAATTTACTAAGAAGGGACCAGAGGAGTGGTTGGGGTAGGTCATTCTGATGGAGAGAGCTGACCCACAGTAGGTGGAAAAAAAAAACACAGTGGAAAAAAAAACCACAATTTATCTCAGGGAGAAACAATATTCTATGCAGATTATGTGACTCTTATCAAAATAAGCTTTTCAAAATCATTATTACTTTACTATTTCAATGATCAACAGAAAACAAATATAATATCTGTCTCTTATACACATCTAGATGTGTATAAGAGACGTATAATTTGAAGAGTAGCTTAGGCTGACTTTCATAAATAGTTACTCTAAAAAAAATTGGCTTTGAATTGGGTATGGAGTGAGGAGTAACCGTTTATTTTTTTCACAATTTATCTCAGGGAGAAACAATATTCTATGCAGATTATGTGACTCTTATCAAAATAAGCTTTTCAAAATCATTATTACTTTACTATTTCAATGATCAACAGAAAACAAAAATAATATAGTTATAAATATAAAAAAAATTATAGCAAAATAGGGAGCTAATTTTGATTGGATGTTACTGTCGTAATCAAACTCCACGTGTACATATAAAAAATCAAATCAGAATTTTTAGGAATTGGTTTAAAATTGTACCAGGCTTTCCTCAGGCAAAAAAACAGAGTATAATTTGAAGAGTAGCTTAGGCTGACTTTCATAAATAGTTACTCTAAAAAAAATTGGCTTTGAATTGGGTATGCAGTGATGAGTAACCGTTTTTTTTTTTTTATTTTTATTGAAAAGGGGATTTCCATGGTATAAGCCCACACAAATTGATGTATCTAGCCTCTGTTTATTTTGCTTGTTAATTATAGACTATAGCGACTGATTATATGTCAATTGTCATCAATTTCTGAAGAAATAATATGTTTTAAAGATTGAAAATCCTCCATATTGGTGTAAAAAATGGAATATTAATTCAAATTCTAATCAAATTCAATTTCAAGGGAGGGAGGCTTTTTATTTTATTATGCTGAAGCTAAATATCACATTTGAGTTGTTTGCTGGTGAATTACTATTTTAAAGACATAATACAATACTAGAAAAAAAAAAATTAAAAAAAATAACTATTTCATTTTATTTGTTCCTTGCTTTCATTTTTTTCTTTCTGGCATTTAGCATTGAAAAAACCCCAGATTTTGGACAGAAGTTCAGGACTTATTTTTACTTTATGCCAACAATACCATTGTACAAACAACCTAAATTTATAATACAACCCACTCACTGTTCAATCAAACTACAGAGTTTAAAATACAACTCATGTCAAAATAACAATTGGCCATTATGCCTGACCTTGCTACTACAGCATGTAATTACAGCCCAATACTACTGCTAGATGCAGTATGCTACCACACAATACCACTGAGAGATTCAAAATAAACCTACAATATAAACACTGGTTTTTGTACAACAAATGAAACAACAACCCTATAGTAGTATATTACCTACCTTTATAGACATTCAATTTAGGTCTATTTTAGAACTCATTTTTGCAGACGAATTCAACAAAAATAATGCTAGATGCTGCATGCTTTACTATGCAATGAAACTGAAAGTTTCAAAATAAACCTATAGCACTACAAACACTGGTTTTTGTACAACAAATGAAACAACAAGCCTATAGCGTATTACCTACCTTTATAGACATTCAATTTAGGTCGATTGGAGCTCATTTTTGCAGAAGAATTCAACAAAAATACAGCATTTTGAACAACTCTTGTGTTACGCTGGTGCTTTTGTGAGTTTTAAACCTCCAACCACGAAAAGCGCTCAGAAACCAACAAATTGTTTCTATAAATAGTTAAATAGTGTTCATGGAAAATCCACTCATACAGAAATATTACATGAATAACCATAGACGCTTCCATATGTTTTGTAGGGGTATCTTTATTAACTTTTTTTTTTCTCATAAATACATTGGCTTTGTGTTAAATAATTTTGATGACATATATTAGTAGAACTTAAATATCACCATGCTTTTCTCTGAACCCTGCCAACAGACATTATTAGGCTTTTTTGCCGATTTCTAAGAATGAGTAACCCCTCTTGCAATAATCGACTGTTCTATTCTGCTCCATCAAATCAGAAAGCTAGATGATGACATCATTATTGTTTAATAGAGTTAGGAAATAACACTCAATGGAATATTACTGCATATTTAGATTAATGTTTAGATATATGCTAGGATTTAGACTACTGTTTTTACATTGTTTACTTGCAATTTAGTAAAGATTTAGTTTACAAATTTGCTAAAAAAAATTATTTTGAGCGAGATTGTGACATTCCAGCGAATGCATTTTACAACCCCTGAATTTGCCTAGTAAGAAAATGGTAATCTTGTATAAGAAATAATGTAGTCTCTATTTCTCTTCTTTTTTTTTTTTTATTCTTTTGCGTATTTAACTAAGATTTATGCCAATATTTTTTCATAGTATATATTATAATTAGAGTAATGCATATGCATTTTTTCTAAAAAAAATTCTTTTTTTAGTGAAATGGGATTAAGTTAATTGGTAGAAAAATAAATACCGTACAGCATAATAAAGTATTGACCAGTTGTCAATCTGTTGGCATACTAATCGCATATTTTAGAAGGAAGTAATTAAAGTCATTCATTCTTCGTGCATATGGTACTTAGTGAAGATAGCACAAAGACATGAGACAAATCTTATCCCATTGTCTTAACAGCAAAATAGTTAATTACTAACACAGATAGCTTAAAATTAACAGACTAGTTAAATATTAACGAAACAGAATCATTGGGACACATCCAAAGCTTTCTAACATTTCCGATTATTCACAAAGAATACTACAGTTTATATTCAAAAATAGGCTCCCACAAACACAGATAGCTTAAAATTAACAGACTCATTATATAAAAACAGAATGATCATTGGGACACATCCGAAGCTTTCTAACATTTCCAATTATTACGGTATACTACAGTAATATTCAAAAATAGGCTCGCAGCGTGAGCATGTGTGTCTATGCCCTATACGTTACTGTACAGGTATTATGTTTTCTAATAAAGTATCCACATGGGGATTCGGTTATCAGGGAATGTGTAGTGTTTTTTTTCCCCCCTTTGATACAGTCAAAGGACATAGATAGCAGTCCTTAAGATAGACACAATACCCATCATGCACCTCCACTGTTTTTACAGGGTTATTAACCTCCACTGGAATTACACTTTCAACCATATTTAACTGCTGGCGACAACATAGTGTCCCCCCCCCCCCGATTTCTAAGAATGAGTAAACCCTTTTGCAACAATAAAGAGCTGTAAACACCTTGTTGATGGCAACCTTGCATGGGAGAATCCTGCTGATCGTGAGGATAGTTTTTACAAAAATTCAAAGTAACATAAAAAATCATCATAGCTCCACATACAGATTACTGCAGAGTCATTTGGACTCATTCTATAAATAAATGATTTTATTCTAGAAAGATGTTCAGCTAACTATGTATTAAATAATATCGTCCTAGCTAAAAATACACCAGGCTCTCAATGCAGTATACTTTATTACTGTGTCCCTAAAACGTTAGGCAGTATGCAAATGAATCATATAATCATAGACTTGTTAATCTATTTCATGGAACACGGCGGGGAAATTGTTGTAAAAGCCTCTGTATTTCGCTCCCAAAGGAAGAGGAAAACGCCACATTCAGTCAACCTTCATGTTGGCAAAGACCAAGTCACTGATGCGCACTGCTCGTGTAAATCTGGGTATCTATAACCAAGCATAGACATCTAGGCCTAGGCTCACGTATATTTTACATTTAAACCAGCTGTCTAAGAAAATTTCTGATCATGTGACTAAATGACGCTCGCTGATTAGTTGCTTTATCTGTCAATCAAATCTTGTCGAGATGTTACTTGGGTCTGCGCAAGGCGCTGACCCCAGAGCCTCACTGCTGTGTTATTGAAACTTCAAAAGCGTTCAGCGTCGCCAGTTTTGAACAAACGTGCAGGAAATTTTGTACACATAAACTAGAGGTGATGATTACCAACAAATATTTAAATTGGACCCCAGAGTTCCCACTACACATACAAAAAAGACAGGTTTCCGCATGGAATATACATTACTGCCATTACCACTAATAGAGCACATCGCATGGATGGCGCAGTCGGTTAAGGATGTGTTCTAAAGAATTTAATGTGTCTTGGAATTCAAATTTTTTTTTTTTTTTCAATTTTAAGATATTTTAATTTTGTACAAATGAACATTCTAAATAATAATGTTTTTGTACACTTAAACATTCTAAATATTTAAAAATTGCAATCTTTAGTTCTTCCAAATAAACCCAATATA